CAGACTTCATGGATCCAAACTTGGAGCTGAGAGGTTTGGGAATGATTCTGGAGCACATCTGGCTGGAAAAGGAGATCCAGTGGTGCTGGAGACTGTGGGAACTGGTCTGGGAGCAGAAATCCCAAAGAACTCCAAAGCTGCTTTGGGCTTATGGTTGGGGCTGGAACAAGATGATCCTTTTAAGGATCTTTCCAACCCAAACCATTCCAGGATTCCAGAGCTCCACCACTATGGACACAGGCTGGGAAAACTGGGATTGACAGTTGAGTTGGAGTCATCTGGTTGGGGGAAGGTTCCCTGCCCATGGTGAGAGGTGGGACTGGATGACCTTTAGCACTACTTTTAACCCATTCCAACCCAAGCAATTCCATGATTCCAGAGATTTTCTGCTATGGAGACAGGTTGGGAGAGTCCAGTTGGGGTCGTGCAAAGCTTGGAGCCCCCTGTTCCATGGAAAGTGGTTGGAACATGATGGTCATTCCAAGGTTCTTTCCAACACAACCCACTCCTGGATTTTGGGAGTTCCTCTGCTATGGAAACAGAGAGTTGGGATTGGACCGATCTCAAGTCTAGTTGGGTTTGGATGAAATTTGGAACCTCTTGATCTGTGCAGAGTAGCCCTGTCCGTGATGGGGGGGATGGAACAAGATGACCCTTTGCCAAGCTCCCTCCAACCCAACCCATTCCAGGATTCCCTGATCCCATGCCCAACCAGGATCCTCCTCCTCCTCCCCTCAGGCCTCACTTGATCTCCTTCTCGATCTGCTGCTGCTCCCTCATCATCTTGCCCAGCTCCTTCTTGCGGTCCTTGAGCTCATCCTCCACCCTGTCCATCCTCTTCTTGTCCTTGTCGATCTCGCGGTTCTTCAGCCCCAACTCCTTGTTGAGCTTCTCGATCTCAGCCTCGTTGTGGAAGAGCTTGAAGAGCTGCAGCTGCACCTGAGCACGCACCACCTCGTCCTTCAGCCGCTGGTACCGATCAGCCTGAGGGGACAGGGGGGACAGGGGGGTCAGGAGGTCCCCAATGGGCCACCACGACACCAATGGCACCTGGGATGGGCTCCTCCTTGAGCCCAAGGAGCTCCTTCTTCAAGGAACTCCTGCAGCCCAAGGAGCTCCTCCACCTGCTCGCAGGAACTCCTGGAGCCCAAGGAGCTCCTCCACCTGCTCGCAGGAACTCCTGGAGCCCAAGGAGCTCCTCCACCTGCTCGCAGGAACTCCTGGAGCCCAAGGAGCTCCTCCACCTGCTCGCAGGAACTCCTGGAGCCCAAGGAGCTCCTCCACCTGCTCGCAGGAACTCCTGGAGCCCAAGGAGCTCCTCCACCTGCTCGCAGGAACTCCTGGAGCCCAAGGAGCTCCTCCACCTGCTCGCAGGAACTCCTGGAGCCCAAGGAGCTCCTCCACCTGCTCGCAGGAACTCCTGGAGCCCAAGGAGCTCCTCCACCTGCTCGCAGGAACTCCTGGAGCCCAAGGAGCTCCTCCACCTGCTCGCAGGAACTCCTGGAGCCCAAGGAGCTCCTCCACCTGCTCGCAGGAACTCCTGGAGCCCAAGGAGCTCCTCCACCTGCTCGCAGGAACTCCTGGAGCCCAAGGAGCTCCTCCACCTGCTCGCAGGAACTCCTGGAGCCCAAGGAGCTCCTCCACCTGCTCGCAGGAACTCCTGGAGCCCAAGGAGCTCCTCCACCTCCTCCATCTGCTCCAAGAACTCCTGGAGCCCAAGGAGCTCCTCCTTTTGCTCCAGGGATCTCCTGAAGCCCAATGAGCTCCTTCAAGGAACTTCTGGAGCCCAAGGAGCTTCTCCATCTGCTCCAAGAACTCCTGGAGCCCAAGGAGCTCCTCCACCTGCTCTCAGGAACTCCTGCAGCCCAAGGAGCTACTCCATCTGCTCCAACGAACTCCTGGAGCACAAGGAGCTCCTCCACCTGCTCTCAGGAACTCCTGCAGCCCAAGGAGCTCCTCCACCTGCTCCAAAAACTCCTGGAGCCCAAGGAGCTCCTCCATCTGCTCCAGGGATCTCCTGAAGCCAAATGAGCTCCTTCAAGGAACTCCTGCAGCCCAATTAGCTCCTCCACCTGCTCCAAGAACTCCTG